TTTTTAATTGTGTACCAGTTTAACGTTGAATATTATTCATGATTTTAAGTTGTTTCCTTGATAAAAATAACGAAAATAGTGTATAGCATTTGGCATTGGGGTAAAATAGTTTAAATGAGTTGATCAGCTGTTATATTAATAACTTTGCTCCCCCCTTATATTTTTGCCGACAACAATTTTTTATTTAGTCTTTTTTTATGCAGTCGGCTTACTTTGCCAGCCGAAATGAAAGGAGACTGTAATTCTTTGGCCAATTGTAAACATTACAGAGGCTGTAACTGGTTGTGTATCTGTAAAATGTGTACACTCGTCATTTATATGAAACATTTGTATTGTCTGTATAACTTACGATTTTGTAGTACTCATCAAACAATTTAATTTGTATTTTGCACATTTTTGTATGTACAATACAGTACTTGTTATTGGGTGGAATTGTTGAATAATATTTTAAAGCGTTTTTTTTTTATTGGCAGACAATTTTTATCCATTTGCACGACCGCCCCCACAAAATGTTTTGTGCGTTCCAACGCGTCCGATTTGCGAATAAAAGCGCGAGTTCTCTCGTAGTTCGGTTGTGACAAAGTGAAATACAGTAAGTGATTCGACTAACATTGAAACAGCGTGGACAATGCAACTTACCAGGTCGAAACGAAGAAGGCCAGCCACTGTTTTCATACCAAAAACGATCTCCTCGCCTGATGTTTGAAAATTGATCGGCAATCAGACAAGCAAAAGTTGGGCCTACAACGGCGTTAGGTAGGTGATACTCTGAGATACCCGCACTCCACAAGTCGATGTCGTCAACGTGTCTGTTCATGTGGAATATAATATTATTAACAAAACAGTACAACAGATTCAGATTAAGATAAAAATTTTCGACAGATTTGTTTTGCCCTTAGGACACTAGAGCTGCTATCCAACCAGAAGAAGCAAAACACAAAAAAATAATGTTATTATCAGTTATGGGACATTAGAGCTGCTATCCAACCAGGATAAACAAAACACAAAAAATAATGTTATCAGTTTTGGGACAATAGAGCTGCTATCCAACCAGTAGAAACAAAACACAAAAAATAATGTTATCAGTTTTGGGACAATAGAGCTGCTATCCAACCAGGAGAAATAAAACACAAACAGTAATGTTATCAGTTTTGGGACAATAGAGCTGCTATCCAACCAGGAGAAATAAAACAAACAGTAGTGTTATTATCATTTTTAGAACAGTTAAAGTTGAATACCAACTGAAATGTTACATACATATAATTTATTATGTGTATTAATGGCGTTCCTAAAACTTTTATCAAAAAACAAAACTATTTTTTCATGTTTTATGACGAATTTGATGTTTTTATATTACTTTTCAGTTGCTGTAAATGATTTTAAACAGTGTGACAAAATTCACATTTTTGTTAAGTGACTTTCAACAGTGACCAAATTCAAATTTTAGTTTATTTCGTCTGTTTATTTTTTGTTATGCTCATAACTACACAATGGGCTATCTGTGCTATGGCCAATACGGGGATCGAAATAAGATTTTAAGCATTATAAGCTCTCAGACTCGCAGGGAGGGACTTCAAATTTTTGAATTATCTGTCAGCAACATTGCTATATTTATTATGTTATGTATAATTTACATATTCTTTTTCCTAAAGAAAATCCTACACACAGCTACTGCTTAAAGTGTCTGTTGTACCCAAGGCTGTGCCAAAAGCATCTTTCAAAAGTTCGTTTCTCAGGGAGAATAAAAATATTCAGGTATAACTTTTTCATGCCACCTACTTGTACAGCTGGGCATATCTCTGTATTGTCGTGTTGGGCATGATTCCCGCCAGGTCATAAAAGTCACGAGCTTTTGGAAGACCACAGTATTCCCTGTAATAATTGTAACCAGGGTTACCGTGTTCTCTGGAACGCTGGATGTTGAGTGCTGCCAGATCCATGCCGAACCTCTCGCCTGGTTTCTCGAATAAATGATTAGTTACCTGTATCAATATGTAGCATTAGAAAAGATGATTAGTTGCCTATTAATAATAAAAACAGCTTTATAACAGCTAATTAGTTGGCTATGACTTATTAACAATAAAAATAGCTTTATTAAAAATGACTGATTACCTATTAACAATAAAAATAGCTTTATTACCTATTAACAATAAAAATAACCTTATAACAGATGATTGGTTACCTATTAACAATAAAAAAGGTTTATAACAAATGATTGGTTACCTATTAACAATAAAAAAAGCTTTATAACAAATGATTGGTTACCTATTAACAATAAAAAATAGCTTTATTAGAAATGATTGGTTACCTATTAACAATAAAAATAGCTTTACTAGAAATGATTGGTTACATATTAAAAAGAAAAATAGCTTTATTGGAAATGATTGGTTACCTATTAACAATAAAAAATAGGTTTATTAGAAATGATTGGTTACCTATTAACAATAAAAATAGCTTTATAACAGATGATTGGTTACCTATTAACAATAAAAATAACTTTATAACAAATTATTGGTTACCTATTAACATTAAAAATAGCTTTATAATAGATTATTGGCTAACTATCTACTATATAAAGACGAAAATCTGTCCGTCTGTCACCCCGATATCTCGGCCGTTGCGGTACCAATCGTCACGTAACTTGTACGAAATGACGACAGTTACTGCCGAGACAAACAAGTTTGTCTTTTTAAAATTCTGCCAGCCAGATGATGCGCTACTTTGAGCATATAATTAAATATGATGGTAGGTTGGTAGAGATCGTGACGAGTAATGAAATGGAATCGGGTATACGAGCGCCCAGCGCTTGGTATTGCTGCCGTACAAAAATCATAATCATTAAGCTGAAAATATAAAGCTGCTTTCATTGTGAATAGGTAACCAATCACCTGTTCTAAAGCTGCTTTCATTGGCCAATCACCTGTTCTAAAGCTGCTTTCATTGTAAATAGGTAACCAATCACCTGTTCTAAAGCTGCTTTCATTGTAAATAGGTAACCAATCACCTGTTCTTTATCTATTTACAATAAAAGCAGCTTTAGAACAGGTGATTGGTTACCTATTTACAATAAAAGCAGCTTTAGAACTGATGATTGATTACATATTTACAATAAAAGCAGCTTTAGAACAGGTGATTAGTTGTCTATTTACAGTGAAAGCAGCTTTAGAACAGGTGATTGGTTACCTATTCACAATGTTTTATATTATAATTATAACAGAAATGTAAACATAGATTAAAACTATTACAACTTTAATTGTCACTTAATGTTATATGTAAAAATATCTAAAACTCAAATGGCTAACGTACTTCAGTGGTGACTTCAGGATCCATCCTGTTGGATTCCTGGTTTACTAATCCCATCAAGAAACTGTCGATAATGCCTGGCTTGTATAGGTCATAAGGTCGACGTAGTTGCATGGAGAGGCGGATAGCCTCTAATTGAAAGAATGGAATTTCTTATAAGTATTGTGTGATACTTCATTATATGTCACTGTCTTAATTCCGGTCTCAAGTATTACCTGTCACTTTATTACATGTAACTGTTTACAGTTAAGTATTACCTGTCACTTTATTACATGTATCTGTTTACAGTTAAGTATTACCTGTCACTTTATTACATGTAACTGTTTA